ATTTTTTTGTAATGGGATTTTTTGTAATGGGATTTTTGTAATGGGATTTTTGTGATGGGATTTTTTGTAATGGGATTTTTGTAATGGGATTTTTTGTAATGTGATTTTTTGTAAAGGGATTTTTGTAATGGGATTTTTGTAACTGGATTTTTGCAATGCATCTGGCTCGGTACACTAAAAAGAGCACTCCTTATACTGGATTCATGTTCTGCTTCGAAGTATCGTCTATGTTAGCGAATTTCATCGGGTAATTTTCTCAAAAAATTTTAATGTTTACTTGAATACATGAAGCTGTACTAAATGGTGCGCTCTATTAATTTTGATATGATGTGTACGTCTGGGTTTGGCTAGTGCTGGAACAGTCTTTATTTTTATTTGCTCAAGCCGTACATATCGACCAGGGAGAGCGCTAGTGTACACACATACATGTACACACAAGTCCACACACGCACACAGAGACCAAGGTTAGCCGGTCCCCCATACCAGCTTTGGTCTCGTTTGCGTCATGGCTCCTGCTGCTGGTGCTGATATTCTTGATGTCGACGTTATTGCTTTCTCGATATGTTTCTCCTTGATACTTATGCTATTTATTTTGGTTTTGACGTGTGTGTCGTTGCCACTTGAATTTAGTTTTTATATTGAGTGTTATGTCCTGATAAAATTCCTTGTTGATGAGTTTACGTGCAATCATGTCCTGATAAAATTTGAATTTATGTTTCTATGTTTACATGTTCATTGTTTGGCTTGTGGTCGGTTGTGCTGCTTGTAGTCGTTTCAAAATGTTTTCTTGAAAATTTTTTGTATACAATTTTCTGCTCGTTAATTAAATTATTTCCCGATAATACCGTTTTTTTAATGGCATTCGCCTCAATATGCAGCATACACATAAAATAATGAACACTTAGTATTGCATTTTATACTGCATTGTTCAATCTGGTCTATAATTAAAATAAGTTGCTGTGACACACCCGTACTGGAGATGTGTGCTGCTAACAGAGCTGCCTCTTGTAGTCTCTGCTCTGTCTCGTGCAGTCTCTGCTCTGTCTCATGTGCAGTCTCTGCTCTGTCTCGTGCAGTCTCTGCTCTGTCTCGTGTGCAGTCTCTTCTCTGTCTCGTGCAGTCTCTGCTCTGTCTCGTGCAGTCTCTGCTCTGTCTCGTGCAGTCTCTGCTGTCTCGTGCAGTCTCTGCTCTTTCACGTGCAGTCTTTGCTCTGTCTCGTGCTGTCTCTGTTCTGTCTCGTGTAGTCTCTGCTCTGTCTCGTGCAGTCTCTGCTCCGTCTCGTGTGCAGTCTCTGCTCTGTCTCGTGCAGTCTCTGCTCTGTCTCGTGCAGTCTCTGCTCTGTCTCGTGCAGTCTCTGCTCTGTCTCGTGCTGTCTCTGCTGTCTCGTGCAGTCCCTCTCTTTCTCGTGTAGTCTTTGCTCTGTCTCGTGCTGTCTCTGTTCTGTCTCGTGCAGTCTCTGCTCTGTCTTGTGCAGTCTCTGCTCTGTCTCGTGCAGTCTCTGCTCCGTCTCGTGTGCAGTCTCTGCTCTGTCTCGTGTGCAGTCTCTGCTCTGTCTCGTGCAGTCTCTGCTCTATCTCGTGCAGTCTCTGCTCTGTCTCGTGTGCAGTCTCTGCTCTGTCTCGTGTGCAGTCTCTGCTCTGTCTCGTGTGCAGTCTCTGCTCTGTCTCGTTTGCAGTCTCTGCTCAACTCAAGGCTACAAGGTTACACCCTCTTGTAAGTTTGCTTGCGTGGCTTGCAGCAGCGAACTGGAGCAAATGCTTCTTTTTGTCGACAGATTTTTAATAAGAAGTTTCTTTGTTTGCGATGCCCTCAATAAACAACTGCTGCGTAGTTGCTGAACTTTACATTAAGAACAATTGTATATCCATGCTATCTTCAAACTAAAACAAACATGAATATGCGTGTCTGCATTCAGTATCAACACAAATTCATGTTATTTCCGTCAAAAATGCGTAATCAATCATTTGTATTTTTTTAATGTGACTCAAATGTCCAATTTTTTATCGATAGTTGACGTTAAATGAACGATCAGTGCAACAGTGGCTGATCTTAGCGAAAGTTGTCAAGCTACTTTCATGCATCGTTTTTTAAGCTTTCTTCCAAGAGTTGCAATACTTGATCTCGAGTTGCTGAGCACCGGTACTCTAAAATGTCACCCTAAAAATATTCAACATGAAGCACTACACCTTCGTGATTGGATTTAATTATGTGATAAAATATTTCGGAATATTGATTTATACTATAAACTTTCATTCTTAAGTGGAACGATTAAATTTAAAAACAATCCTTATGGTATTTTCGTCGTAATTGTTTGCTGCTATTCGCCTGCTCAATGCGTCTATGCATCCTATGGAGTCAATGTTCCACTTAAATGAATGACCAACGGTTACAGTGACGTAGGGTGGGAATGCTGTTCTTGTGCTGATTTTACGGCTTGTGGATTTCTTCATTCAAACTACTCAACAAATTTTTATAGCTTTTACTATCGCCTCTGCTATCAAACGCTTAAACCTTTTCAATTATTTTATTTTGAAACGCACGAAAAGCTCATGTCCAAAATAAGACAATTGTTACTGAGAAAAAGTAAACTTTGCGATGTAAACTCCGAGCACCAATGATAGTTTGATTTTGTTAGTTGATCAAAATAATTTAACTTCCCTAAGTTCAAGACTATCCCCGCATCGTCTTGTAAAATGATTATTCTTAAATTTATCAAACTCTGAATCTGATTACAGAATTCTGAACATTGCACAAAACTTCGAGAACACAATCTCTTTGGCACCATTGTGCTTATGTGTATAAACAGATTCTTGTTTCACCGCTAGCAGCTCCAAATTAGTTCCGTAACTGTAAACAATTGTTTGCATTGACATACCAGTTGCGAACTTGCCATTTATCGCACGAAACTGTCACATTGCCGTGAGAACTCCGTTAGCCTGACGCACAATTAACCAGCGAGCGACCTCACTCAGTCATGCAACAAAAAGTCTCCTGCATTGTAATGGCTCTTAGACACTGTACAATATTCAGAGTCTTCAGTGACACGTCTTCGTGGCTTACAGTCCCTCGAACATTGCTTGCATTTCTAAATCTATAACGGAATGAAAATGTTTTCGAAAATGTTTCTAGACAATCTACAAGTCAATGCCTTTTTTTATTCCATTTTATGCTACGAATGCTGCTGCTGCTGCTGTAATCGCGTCTGTATTCTTTTCTAAATCCGCGACCGGAATTCTACGTTATTTCCTAACCTGATGTGATAAAATGCTGGGTTCTCGGTTTGATCACTACTTAATACTTATGAGGCGTTGCAGTCTCTTACTATGTTTTTTTCTTGTCATCATGCGTTATTGTGCACTAGAAATTATCTTAAATATAATAAAAACTTGACACGAATTCTAATGAATTTCAAAAAGAATATAGCGCGACATTATTTGCTTTTTATACATCTGATTATTGCGGTGGAGCGCAAAATTTCCTCCAATCGCTCCTGTAAGAAAGGCTCCTGGTAGTTGCGCTGCAAAAAACTCGTCTACTGTAATCTTATAGAAGTTGTGGGAAATTTCTCTTTAAGAATGCAGCAGCGGATTTTTTGTGGTGTTACTTGACAAGCTTTGAACTTATCGAACATGCAGGGGGCTTATTGGCGGTTGCTTTCAACACATTCAATCAAATTGTCATAATATTTCTGTAGTCGGCAATATCAATGGAATATCTTTAAAAGTGTTTGCCTCTCACTTTGCTTGTTCATTTTAGAAGATTGCGCTTACAATCTGTTGAAGTAGTTCATAGATTAAATCACAATCACTAATCGATATATTGTTGAATCGTAATCATCACGTTTGTTGGAATGATTGGAACTTTTACAATTCGCATTTGTTATTTTGTATTGTTAATCATGTGAAATTTCCTCTCTAATTATTACCTTATTAACTTTATCCTTGAGCCAGTTAAGCTCCTAGCCTCATTAAATGGACCACAATCTCTGATATCTTTTGAAGGCCTCGTCGTATGGCTGACATAAAGAGCTTTCGTAGGATACTATCTTCCGCTGTCGATCCATACGTTCAATTGACTTAGTACGAACCAACCCACTAGCTTCTAGTTACGTTGGTCACGGCCAATTCTAGTTAAGTTGGTCACGTTCAATTCTAGTTACGTTGTTCATGCCCAATTCTGGTGACGTTGGCCACGTCCAATTCTAATTGCATTGATCACGTCCAATTCAAATTGCGTTGAGCGCGTGCAATTATAGTTACGTTTACCACGTTCAGTTCTAGTTGCGTTGGTCACGTTCAGTTCTAGTTGCGTTGGTCACGTTCAGTTCTAGTTGCGTTGGTCACGTTCAGTTCTAGTTGCGTTGGTCATTTACCTGCGCATGAAGCAAGCTGATTTCCTCAACAATTAATTACCGATCTTAAAATTCCTTTATAACCAGTATGCAAAACTATATTTGGCTAAATCCCTGAAACAGATTTGGTCTCAATTTTAACACAAGTTCAAAGTGGTTTTACGATTGAACTCAATTGCATTTTTGAGGTAATTAATTGTATGGGTCCAAACATTTAGCTGGTATTGTAATTGCAGTAATTGCTCGCCTGTATCGCGAGAGCTGCGTTACATCTCGATCGGTGAAATCCGCGATAGAGAATTGGTCGACTGATCGTACTTATTTGTGCATTTAAATTGTAATTTTTTGTTAGGTGTTCATTGATTTAATTGTTCACAAACTCTTCCCACTCTTTGGCCGATCGACTTCCTCAGAAACTCGCGAACCAACGGGCTTCTTGATTGTTCGTATTCATTCCATTTATATTTCTTTTGAGCCTGCTTTACTTATTGACAACCTTTTTTGTATACTTGAATCGTTGAAATATCCACAGTATTACCATTATGAATATTTTAAATTGTTCATTCTTAAATCTTTATTACATACTTTTAAGTATAGCATTTGACTATAAAATGAACAAATTTTTCACCCCTGAAATTCGTCTGTGCAGGACTGGAATGTCCTCAGCCAGCCGCCCCAGTGAACGCTCGCGTGTCTGTAGGAGGCCTCACTCCTGGCTCCCTGGCCACATATGTCTGTGATCCTGGATACGATCTCTTCGGGTCAGTGTTTATTTTAATTTGCAGTGATTTGATGACTTCTTCAAACTTACTAAGCTTGAAGCCTGGAAATCTTGATAATGGTTTAGTTTTTATTGATTTGAAAACTTCTTCAAGCTTGAAACTCGAAAATCTTGTTAGTGGTTTAGTTTGCAGTGATTTGATAACCTCGTCAAAATTGAAACCTGAAAATCTTGATAATGGTTTATTTGCAGTGACTTGATGACTTCTTCAAGCTTGAAACTCGAAAATCTTGATGATGGTTTAGCTAGGTTCTTTATAGTAAATTTTACCAAAATGTCACTGCGTCAATGAGAACGTAATATTCTATCTGAACTTTTCAAATCGGTTACGTCAGCGTGTCATCGTCAAGAATTTGTTTCATTCATAAGAAATAATAGACACGGGCTTTTAGCTTTGACCGTAGAAAATTCAATTATATCCATTGCCGTTCATTCCTTTTCATTTTGACTGCAATTCATTCCGTATTTGGCGAGAAGAAATAATGTTGCGTCAATTTACTTGTTAAATGAATGTTGTACCTTTTATTCTGTGCACGGTGGCTTATATAAATGATCAATCTTAAAACCAGTAGCCATTCAAGCCCGTTTAATGTTAATTCATATCATAAAAAAATTACGATTGAACCGAATAAACTTGTACATTAATTATGACCATATTAATTATGTATTAAACTTGTTTTCCAGGAGCGATAGCGTGGTCTGCGGTGGAGATGGCAGGTGGACTGGAGCGCTGCCAGTTTGTGGTGAGTCTTGATTTATTTTCGCAGTATATGTTTTGTTTTATTTTTATTAGATCAGTTTTGGTAATAAGTCAGTAGTTGCATTATTTTAGATTTAGGTTATTTCGAGTTTGCGCGCACAATTGTTCTGCTTGTGATGTTGAAATATTTTGCGTGTCCTTGTCATACGTAATTGTTAAGTAAGTTTCTCGTTGTCAATGTATAAACTAATATATAAAGATAAAATTTTCTGAATTCTTGCGCTAAATTTTATATGATCCAACATAAAATGCCTTGTTTCAATATACCCATCGCGTGTTGAAAAATTCAACATTAATGGAAGTTCTGGGGCAATGTGGAAAAAGTGATACTTTGTACTTACAATAATCATCGGAGTTGCAATTTAAATCGTCAATTTAATTATTTATTGTACCAATTCCTTGACAATTAACTGTCTGTGTTTCATGTGGAATTTGTTCACGTCACCATCGAATTATTTATTAAATAATGGTAAATAAAGCGCGTTTATTTATGAAGCAATAATTATTCAGAATTCAACTTCGGTAAACTATGATCGTCGGAAACCCCAAATTTGTATCATGATTAATTATTACATAATCTCTAGGGGCTCCCTGAATCACGATTAATTATATCATTCCACCATTATTCATGTCCACTTACGCGTACGATTGTCGACAGCTACAAACGTGGCGTACCGCAAACCCGTCAATCAATCATCGACGGCGCGCGGCGGTGCAGGCGAGAACGCTAACGACGGAGACCTAAACACCGTGCACGATGGCAACAAATGCACGCAGACCCTCGACGAGACCTCACCGTGGTGGGCTGTAGACCTCCTCCAGCAGTACGAGGTCGCTGTCGTCAAAATTACGGCCCGAAGCTGCTGTGGTCAGTTCCGGGACTGAATGTTTTGTGATTAATTAAAGAAGAAGATTGTGGCTCTGGATAAGGTGGTGGGGAAAATGCTTTCTGGCTAGCGACCAGTTACGATCTCGCGAATAATTTCCCGATTAAGTTAGTCATTTATCTTATCTATTAGCTGCATGTATTTCAGTTTCACAACCTAGTTCTAATTCAGTTTCATTAGTTGTAATTCAGTTTCAGAACCACAGTATGAGTATTATGGCGTTATGAATTTCACTCGACCTCGAACTGGGAAGCCATTTCTTTGAAAAGCTTGACTCCCACTTGTGAGTGTAATTATATATTCGATGTGCATGAGTAAGTTAGGTAGCCATGGATGTGCACGAAGAAATTGAAATGAGCCAGAAATGTATTTTAATAGGAATTTTCTGTCAGGTTATTCGAAAGTACGAAGTATAAACTGATTGCGTCATGTCAGTAATTTGTCCTTAATTCGTTGTTCTTATTATATCATGAATTCGAATTCCCTCCAGATTCACCATCTAATCACCCGTTCTACAACACTCGTGAGCAATCCAAATCTTTCTTATGCGTGAACACTCGACCCTCTAACTAAGTTGTCTTTGTTTTTATTATCAAGCTTATTTATTACCTTACGTTATCGTCATGCTACCTTATCATCTAACCGCTTCTTCTGCTGTTTCTTCATCTATAATACGTTACCCTGAAGTTTTAATGTTTGTGCCACAACACTACCTAATTCTGTTATTCCTCCCGATCCCTCCAACTTTATACCTAGGGTCCAGGATACACCAAATTATTGTGTCTAGATGAACCGATTAACATTTTTGCAGACGGAACATTGCAGTCTGTCTCTGTATCACTTCTTATCGGTTCCTCCGCAGCCCGCTGAAGTAACAACTCCCGCTTTGATGTCCTGCTCGTAGTTTTCTGGGGGTTACTTTCTCTTTGTTTATTTTTCAGTGCAGGGAAATCCATTAAATAAACGAGATCCATTAACCCATATAAATATTTACACTACGTGAATTCATGAAAGCTTTTTTGATGCTTAATATAGTATCCGAACAATACTGTTTTTTTAATAAGTCTCTTCAGTTAGAAGTTTTCCTAGCGGGATAGAAGTCTATTTCCGCGCTCTAATATTTATCCCAGACTATTTCAATGTGGTTGAATTGTTGTCTTTGGATTAATTTTTACTAGATTTGCGGAAAATTTTTTGACGTCTTTTTGTATTTTTTCAGGACATAAACCACTTCAGGACCTGGAAGTGCGCGTGGGAGACTCGGTCAAGTATCAACTGAACAGACTGTGTGCCTGGCTACCTGGCGTCGTAGGTGAGTGATGTGACATTGAAAATCTGCGATGCATGTGTCAGAAATTTTTTTCAAAATTTAAATAAAAGCTTGATAATGTTTCCACGAAACACCACGATTCCACTTTTTACGAAATTCGGCGAAACCGTTTCTAATTTGAGTTAGTAAAGTATAGTATAGTATCTTCGGCATTGAAGAATAGGCCTGGATAGGCCTGTCGCCGATTCTTGTACTTTTCTTGACTAGACTGGCCTTTGATCAAATCTTTTCAACGGACGGTACGTTTAAAATCGCTTCTAGATTTCAGTTGTTCCGTAGTATACGAGGCAATTGGGTTATTCCGGTTTGGTGATTTATGTGAATTTAATATCAAGTATTTCATGGGTCCAGAACTTGAAATTAATGGAATTCAATAACTGTCACATGTCAAATTAAAAAATTTTAATGAAATGCACCAAGTAGATAATGTGTGATCATTCACCAAAACATGTTTTAAATCATTAAATATACAACACAGGCTCATATATTAAAAAAATATAACTCAGTACTCACTGCAGTGAGTGACAGAGAGCTCATTTTCTCGTCGACGAAAACGTGGTCACGGACGGTCAGACGGAGACAGACAGACGGACATGACGAGCATAATAGCGCCTTTTTTCCATAAATGAGAAAATGCGGTAAAAACGGGTGTTTTTTCTCGGAGTACTTTATGCAGCTTCCTCTGCAGCCTAAACATCTGTCTCATTTCAAATGTTGCTGATTAACAATAGAACATTGATACATTCATAGACGCTGTAACCAATAATTCTATACTTGTCGGCGATCTCACTAAAATTTTGATGACCTATATTTTCGCTTAATTAAAATTTGTCTTGAATGTAGCATAATTCTCTATAGCCTCACAAGTATAAGCAGCAATATACTGGAATACAATTCTCGGATGAGACGATGTTTACTCATGGGCGGTATATGCCCGGATGTGTACTCACAACTGTCATTACGTTTAATTTTTCTTGGGAACAATAGGATCGCGGTATCTTTGTTACTTCTGTGTCCTGAATTACTTGCTGCTAGCGAGTTGATACTTAGCTTGCCTTCCACGAGATGATAAGGTATATGCAGTATATGATAGTGTGACACGATGAAAATTACAGTCTGTTTATGCAAGTTTTTAATGTAGTTTTTTCTAATAAGAAAATTTAGTGAGAATTGAGTTTCTTTTGATTGCTCACTTTACTTTATTATAAACTTTAAAATGTATAAAAATTATACTGTAAAATTAGATTATTTTTTAACCAGAATAAACGCTCTTGACGGCCGAAGGACGAAGGCAAAAACACACTGTTCCTAAATTAATCAAATAACGAATTACGATTATTTTGTAATGCTTCAAATTGAAAGTCTATTGAATATTAGAATTGATTCATTTATCATGCAAGCCGGAAATGGGAAGAACGAGTTGGCCAGTAACAACCTCTTTGTATTGAGACACACACTGTATAGAGACACACATTGTATTAAGACACGCACTGTATTGAGACACACACATAGTAACTATTGATCATCAGCGAAATGTGCAAATAGCGATGCACCTTTTCCCTTATGTGGGTCATCCTGACCCACTTTGGCCCGGCAAAAGTGCGTATCAGTGCTACATCAGCTCTCAATTCGTGATTTGGGTAATAAACTTGGTCACTATTTTGACAATAAGCCCAATTAATTATTTTATAGCGGCAAAAAATTATTTTAATCGCCTCAAAAGTGCGTATCAGTGCACTATTTACTCTCTGCTCGTGATTTGGGTAAGAAACTGTGTCACTATTTTGGCAATAAGCCCAATTGATAATTTTATAGTGGCAAAGAAAAAATATTTTAATCGCCTCGCAATTGCGGATTAGTGCAACATTTACTCCATGCTCGTGATTTGGCTAATAAACTGTGTCACAATTTTAGCATTAAGCCAAATTAATTATTTTATAGTAAAAAAAAATATTTTAATCGCCTCAAAAGTGCATATCATTGCAACATTTATTCTCTGCTCGTGATTTGGGTAAGAAACTGTGTCACAATTTTGGCATTAAGCCCGATAAATATTTTATAGTGTTAACTGTGTAAAAGAAAACACTGTTTGCAGAGGAAGGAAGCACGCGGGAGCTGTCGTGCGCCCGGCCCATGCTGGGGCGCTACGTGATGGTACAGATGTTGGGGGTGTCAGGCTCCATGTCTCTGTGCGAGGTGCAGGTCTTCTCCACGCAGGGTGAGGCTGTGCATGCACGATTCATTTGTTTGTTTGGGCTGGTAACGCGAGAAGTAACTTCATGAGTAACTTCAAGATTTAATGTGGAACGTTAATACTTCGGAGTTTTTTACATCAAGCGATTTGTTCACGATTTATGGAAATGAAGTATAGATAATTAAATTCGAGTATTGATATTGCAATTCTACCTTGACAGCTGTTTCTTAATGACAGCTGTTTCTTCTTCTTGATATAGAAATATAGGCTTCATTTCCGTCATGAAAGTGCACGATTTATGCAGGGTCACCTTAATTACATTTGCTTAACACAAATTGAAAAGATTGAAACCGCGAATTTGGTATGCGTGAACTTATTTGTAAACTTTTATGAAAAAATATTGCCCTGAGCCATAACTTGAAACTTATAGGATTAGTACTACAGTTCACCAATAATGTGTGCCCAAGCGGTTCACGAATTAGTCACAAAATGGTTCCTGTAACGATTGATTTAACAATGTGTTATAATGAAGTTAATGTACGTTACAGAGACTTCTAAGCAGCGCTGTATGGGATCTAACCTACCAGGCGCGCTGGCTACTTTCAACAGAACTTGCTACCAGTTCCAGGTCAGGATCAGAGTAACGGTCATTTGATTTGTTATCCATTGATGTATGTTATTCTTACTCATCTTACTCTATTTCTGTGAATAATGCAGAAATATTTTCATGTTGTTCTGAAGAATGTAGAATTCTGCGTAGTTCGTGAAAAGACTCTTCTTCCTCACATATTTGGCTGTGTTGAAGGGGTATCTCATACGTTCAACAAATCACTTACCTGAATATCACAACTGCCTGGTCGAAAGTGACAATATTAAAAAATATATTTTTCTCTCAAAAAATTCGTGCGATGACAATGCTCCATAAAATCATCTAGATTCCATCGATTCCTAAATACAGCATACGTACCTGCCGAATTTTCTTGTACATTTGGTAAGTTATAGAAGTGGAATATAATTTTACAGACGAAGATGCAGTAGGTATTTTTTTCTGATTCATCATGATTTAAGAAATCTTTTACTCAACAAATGTAATTTAACAGACCGAGGAGAAAGGCACGTACGCGACTGCCAAAGAGAAGTGCGCAGCCAACAAGGCGTCGCTGGTGCAGCACATCGAGCCCATCACGCAGGACTTCCTCTCCTCCGAGCTGCGCAGGATGGAGTCCCGCCTCGGCACGCAGCTCCTCTGGATCGGCGTCGAGAAGGAACCTGCGCACATCAGCCGCACGTGGAGATGGGCTGATGGTGAGAACTTCATCACTCAATCAGGCTCTTTTGAAAATTTTCAAAAAATATGTATTTTTAAATTTGGACGTAACTTAACATGAATTTAAGATCAAGTTGTGCCTGGATTCTAATTACATGTTTGTAATTTGTCGCATTTCAGAGCTTACGAAAAAATCAAGATAATTTTTTTTTTCATTTTCTCTATTTCTACGAATAAGTTGATCGTCTTCAAAGTAATTCATTTCTAAAAATCTGACAATTTAATTAACCATCTGTTGACGTGTTTTTGTGTTCGTCGTGCGCCACAGGATCAGTGATCAAGAAGCCGCTGTGGGCCCGCAATCAGCCCAACAATTACATCGGGGACCAGCACTGCGTCATGCTGGACGGGTCCATGCAGTGGCTCTGGAATGACGTCACCTGCTCCCTGGACAGCCTACACTGGATCTGTCAATACAGTCAGTATTATTTTATTCTTTATTCACGTTCTGTTTGAACGTGACGTGATTTTTTCTAAATAAAATGAGGATACAAAAATATGGGGTTCACAATTGATAAAAATAAAAAAAAAAAAACAAAACAGAAGCAGGTTATTAGCTAATAGTTTCATTATTGAAGAAATATAAGAGCAGCATGTGCCTAATGGATTAACAAAATAAAAAAATTTTTATATCGTTTTAAACTTCGCGTACTGTAATTTTTGCTATATTCGGTAATCTAAATATTTCTATTATTATCTATTATCAGCCCGTTTATTGCCCCGTCATGTAGCGTTCGCTTTTAAAATGTAATTACGACGACAGGTTCACCGTCGTGCGGCAGCCCCGACAAGAACGAGAACACGACGGTGGTCGTGACGACGAGCCCTGACGACGAAGAGGTACGCGAGGTCGCGACGTACTCGTGCCCTGAGGGCCACATGGTACTGGGCGATAAGAACAGAACCTGTTCTTCTGATGGTTTCTGGGCGGGCAAAGCCCCGACATGCAAGTGTGAGTTCTTCAGCTGATATACCAAGACAGGATGTGTATAGTAGTTCTTTTTCTGCTATGTTTGATATGAAACTGAAACCAATATTTATTTGCAGCTGATATACGAAGACAGTTCTGCTTCTGCTATTTTTGATATGAAACTGAAACTGATATTTATTTACAGCTGATATTCAAAGAAAGGATGTGTATAGTCAGTTCTGTTTCTGTATTCTTTGATGTGAAACTGAAAGTGATATTTATTTGCAGCTGATATTCAAAGAAAGGATGTGTATAGTCAGTTCTGTTTCTGCATTGTTTGATGTGAACATGAAACCGATATTATATTTGATGAATTAGGGGCTGGATAAATTAATTGTGTTGTGCGACTTAGTGCTTCGTGTTGACTAGTGTAGTTGGTGAGATCATCTTACTCGAATAACATATTATGTAAGAAATTAATAATTTTTGAGTTTAATAATTTTCTTCTTGCTACCCAAATTATCTTCTTCTAATGTAATTTAACTCTTTACTGCCGAACTTTGACGCGTAGCTCGACATAAGCAGCTCTTTTATTCGGCAAATCCTAACTTTTGCTATTCAATTCTAATGTTGACTAACAGCTTTATTTTTACATACAATTCTTTCAGTTGAATAGCCTTATTTTACATAAAATAGCCTTATTTTGCATAAAATAGCCTTCTTTTGCATAAAATTATTTTAGAAGAATAGGCTTATTTTACATAAAATAGGCTTATTTTGCATACCATTTGTTGCAGACGTTGACTGCGGTGCGCCGGGCGACGTGCAGAACGGTAACGCGGTGCTGCTGGACGCACGCACCACCTACAGCGCCCGGGTGCTGTTCACCTGCGCTGAGAACTACACGCTCGATGGCCAGGAGGACACCATCGTGTGTGGGGAGCAGGGAGTGTGGCAGCCTCGAGCTCCTAATTGTCTGTGTGAGTGAATTTTTTTGATGATAAAAGTTGTAAATTGGCCAGTAATTAAAAAAATTGGCCAGTAATTAAAAAAATTGGCCAGTCTAGCCAAGAAAAGTACAAGAATCGCGACAGGCCTATTCTTCAATGCCGAAGATACTATACTACTATATTAAACTTTTCTCTAAATGATGAGGGGGGTGAATCTGGGATATTAGAGCGTGGACCTCAAGGCTGTAATTAATGAGGAAATCTATCTGAAGGGACTCTTGTTGCATTTAAAAACGGTGGGAGTCTGACTCAACCAAGATAGTGTTATCATGATCATCAAAATATATGAAAAATTACTTTTTTCAAATAATGTTCCTTGTGAGGTTTGTTTAACTCACCCATTACCCTACTAGCTGTGCACAGCTATCATTTAGACTTTTGTGTCAGTTTGAAATAGAATATGCACGAAACAAAGGCATGTCATTTGCTTATGTTCTCTCTAAAATATCCATCATTCAAGTTGCATTCGACATCAGTTATGCAACTTGCATCATAATTAATAATTATGTGGCATAGACTGCAATCATTCAGTCGGCGTTGCTAGGTTCGATGCTAATCATCCAATGGACATAACAGGATTTGTTGACTTCTTGGTATGAGGTTTTAATGCACAGCTGAGATCAATATCGTACAGAGCTACTGCACTGTAACCGTTCCTATTCCTATGTTCCTAAATAGGTGATTTTATTATGTGTTTGTCACACCGAAAGCAGCAGTGTGGTCTCTTGCTAGAAGCTACGCTTCTTCTTTATCAATTTTGACATTCTGTCCTGGGGAATCCTCTCCTTTTTTACAACACTTCTCTTTAACTTCATTTCTTGTCTGTTTCTTTGTTTGTCTGTCTGTCTGTCTGTCTGCTACAAATCTTATAATCAAAATTTAACACACTTTTTAACACAAAATTTTGCACACTTGTGTAAAGTTGGAGACAATGCATGAATCAAATGTCAAAATAAAAGATTTTAAAAATTAAAAAAACAAATTTTTCCAATATTAAAAAAATTGAAAAAATAATTTTGTCAGCTACAAATCTTATAACTGATATCTGACACTTTTACCTGTCTAATTGATCTGAAATTTTGCACACTTGTGTGAAGTCAGAGGCAATGCACGAATCAATTAATATAATAATTAATTTTGAAAAAAATTATATATTAAAAAATTTATATGTTAAAAAAATTGAAAAACTAATTTTTTTAATTCGAAAATTAAATAAGAAATTCATTGTACATCTGTAAGATTGGAGACACTGGATTCTTTGGAAGTGTTGTCTTTAAAAAGTAATTTTCAAACGCATATTATTCAACATTCATTTATTCGTAGCATGAAATATTCTTCGATTATGCAAATTTAAGCTGAATTTCTCCATAATTTGAAACGAAATGAGAGGGGGGCCAAAAATATTCATTTCTAACCGTTATAAAAATAACCAACATGCAATGCAAATAATTCACGGGGAGCTTGCTCCTGTGAATTTTTTCGCGGCCATTTGTAGGCATTTGGTCTTAGTTAAGATCAACCTGCGCGCGAAGTAGTAACCTCTGGGTGAGGGTGTAGCTTGGATGACATGGTCGCCGCTCATGAAATATATCAATTAACGTTATTAATTCATAATTTTTATGCGCGATTAATTGTAATAATTGATTTTGTTAATCAACTTTACAGTCTCGTGGTGCCCTGCCTTGGAGGCGCCCCGTGATGGAGGCCTCGAGGTGACGGGACGTCGTGCTGGAGACACCGCCATCTTCCACTGCAACCCTGGCTTCACCCTCATCGGGGCTAAGGTCAATATCTCTAATTCAATGAAAAAACTTTAATCTTTACTTGCTATTAGAAATTCTCACATGAGGTATACTTTGTATAGTATATATGTCATCGGTAATAATATAACTTCAAAGATATGCGAACTTTGTCTCGGGGTGTATGAAAATTTATTGATGAAATAGGGTAGCTACCTAAGTTTGTTATTCATTAATGACGAAGTAACTCGGTATCGGAACAACTTCTACAAGCTTGTCTGTGAATTGGTTTCTCTTTTATTATAGCTATTCATTGTTGTTACTGTTCCTAACACTGTGTCGCCGTTATTCTCGAAATATTATATTCTTATTTTACTTTTTTGCGCTGAAGAAAAATTATCAGTGAATAAATGTAATGTGCAGATTTTTTTTACCATTACCCTCTTGTTCCAATCTATATTGTGAATTTTAAACATATTACATGTTTGAATTGTTTATAAGCAGGCTTTTCCGTGTGGATAATTATTCCATCATGATTTAATAACAATAATAATATTTATATTCGTGAGAAAGAGTTTAATTTTTAAATTTATTTTTTTATAAGCTTGAAGAAGAATTGATCTATCTAATTAAAGGGTGTACTGTCAAAATTTCCCTCACTGATTTCTTTTTAACCGTTATGGTGACAGACAGTCTCGTGTCAGCTGGGAGGCGCGTGGTCTGGCGAGGCGCCCACGTGCAGATTTGTGGACTGCGGCATCCCTGATGACCTGGAGCACGGCGAGGTGACCTGGGCCGCCTTACGTCCAATAGTTACCGATAACTAAAAAATATAACTCTATATAAAATTTAAATATATAATATAAATATAAAATATATCTATATAATATAACACTGCAGTGAGTGACAGAGAGCGCATTTTCTTGTCGACGAAAACGTGAAGTCACGGACAGACAGACAGACAGACGGACGTACATGACGAGCACAATAGCACCTTTGTTCGATAAATGAGAAAATGCGCTAAAAATGCTATATATTTTAATTCTTTGAATTATAGGCAAGATTTTATTTACATCTTAATAAGCTCTCAATGATTATTTTTTTCCATGCTCGTTAAATGGACGTAGCCAATCAATAGGCCTCGCCGAAAATTTCTCATTGATGCTCTTATATTGTGTCAAAATATTGGCGTTTAATATTTTTTAATGATCGGCGCTTGAACGAATTAAATGAGGTAGTTAGCGTTCTAACATATTAACTCATTATATATTAAAGATATACCATATTTAATATTGATATATTTTAACTCACAATATATAAAACACATATATTTAATATTGATATGTTTTATAGTGAAATTATTATTGCAGATGACACTCGCTAACGGCACGACGTACCTGGACAGCGTGGCAGACTATGAGTGCGACGCAGACTACTGGCTGGACGGGCCTACGCAGCGGACGTGTCTTAAAGACGGACGTTGGACCGGCGACCGCCCGTACTGTGTCTGTAAGTGTCTGCTGCAGAGTGGCCGTCTTTACTGTGTCTGTAAGTGTCTGCTGCAGAGTGGCCGTCTTTACTGTGTCTGTAAGTGTCTGCTGCAGAGTGGCCGTTCTTACTGTGTCTGTAAGTGTCTGCTGCAGAGTGGCCGTTCTTACTGTGTCTGTGTCTGCTGCAGAGTGGCCGTTCTTACTGTGTCTGTAAGTGTCTGCTGCAGAGTGGCAGTCTCATTGTATTGTGCATGGATCGCTAATTGGCTGTCCATATTGCGTACGTAAGTAAGACAAGTTTTTGTAAAAGTAAGAGGAGTTTTTGACAATATTGTCTAAATGTCTGAAAGAGAGTGAACTCTATTATTTTATTTGTAAGTGTCTGCTAGTTGGAGTTTAAAGTGTCAAGTCTACAGTGGAGGGTGCAAGAGACGAAACCCTAAATTACAGGCCGGTGACATTAACACGCTCTGTAATATAGATGTTAGAGAAGTTTGTAGCCAAGAGGTTAGCGCTGTACATGGATGAAGGTTTCATCGGAATACCTAATTCATCTATAATTGATTTATGATTATAGTTATGTTTTTTATTCCATGAGCTTGGCTGTAAATTAATCTCGTGCCCTGACAGTAATCAACTGCGGTGAGCCTGAGATACCCCACGGAGGGTATGTGACGGGGTACAGTTTTGACGTGGGTGCCGAGGTTGAGTATCACTGCGAGGCGGGCCACTACAGCACCGGTGACACGCGGCGCGTGTGTACGCGAGACGCAACTTGGAGCGGCGAACCTCCGAACTGTACTTGTAAGTACAGTGCAAAGTATGTGTACCGTTATTTATATTAGCTTTTTTTCTCATTTATGGAAAAAAATCGCTATTGTGCTCGTCATGTCCATCCGTCCGTCTGTCTGTCTGCCCGTGACTTCACGGACGGACGAGAAAATACGCTCTCTGTCACTCACTGAGCGCTCATCAGCTGGAGACAAAGTGCGGAAAATATTAGGAATTTGGAGGAAATTATTAGGAATTCACGCCATTTTTCCCGATTGGCACAAACTTCGCAGGAATGTGATAAATAAATTTACCTCGCCCTGACGTATGTTATCGACTCTTAACTCATTTAAAATAAAAACTTTGAAGTGAAAACAAATTGTGTACCCGACCAGTCGTGGACTGCGGGCGGGTGCCGCCGCTGGTGCGGGGCGAGGTGCGTTACTTGCAGGAGGGCGAAGCCACGTTCCTGGACAGCCAAATCCAGCACGTGTGCAACACCAACTTCAGGCTGGTGGGCGACGAGTTTCGCACCTGCAATAAGGAGGGACAGTGGAGTGGCCAGGTCGCCAAGTGTGAAGGTGTGTAAAGGGCCCAGTGGTTAAAGTTCAGAGTACCAAGATTGGAGCAGAGAGGTGCGGGTTCGTTCCCAGCTCTGTGCGCCAGTTTCTTGTCAGAAACGGCAAGGAGGCCGGGTGGTTAAGCATAGCAGAATTGTAGCAGTGAGTTGAGAGACCGCAACAAGCTGAGAATGTTCTGCTATGTTAAGAATCGGCGACAGGCTTACGGCCTAATAACGCTGAAACCGCTATTATTAACAAAAACCACTATACAGGAGCGTGTCGTGCGGATAATAGTGCATAGAATGATGCGTAGTTGATATTTTATAAAATGACATGCATACTGTGATGTACTCGTAACCAAGTTGAGCAGATCTTAAATGACGGCAGTAAGATTACTCATATAGAAAGATGTTGAAGTTTGGTATTGCTGGCTTTGAAAATATGTCCTATTTTTCTGCTTAAGGAGGAATGTCAGCGGAGTATTTTAAATACAATCAAAAACCACTAATTCTATAATACTAAGGAAAACCTGAGGTTTTATTATTTTCTAACGATTCACGTGCATATTTGTTGCGAAGTCTCCGAGTTACATCCGTATATCCATGACACATATATCCATGCCACATGTATCCATGCCACAGAGATTCGGTGCAGCAACCCTGAGGTGCCAGACTTGGCTCGCATCAGCATCGCGCGCAACGACAGGCGACTGTCGTCTGTCGTGCGCGGCAAGGACGATATGATGCCAGACCAGACATACAAGTACGTTTTGATCTCGTATCTTGCTCAATGAACTTATATTTACTGCTAAAACTTGACAATGAACATGTATAGTTACTCGTGACTGGAAGTTTTTGACCTTGAACCTGATATTCGTGATCGTAAAGCATCATGATCATCACGAAAACAATAATTTTCCATGATTTAATGCAGGATTCTTTTTCGCACTGGAGGGTGATTTTTTCCGAAGCACGAGATTTTGATATTGTTTTACATCTGCTGGTAATTACTGTGAGTGCACTGAGTGTTCGATGTCGTGGTACAGGGTGGGCAGTACCATCACGTACCGCTGCGACAAGGGATACGTGGTGGAGGGCGCCACTATGCGCACGTGTCTTGCTAACGGCACGTGGTCGGCTGAGGCGCCAGGATGCAAGTGTGAGTTACACTTCACGTGTTTACCGTATTTATGTGTGACGGTTTTTGCTATGATGTTCGCCTCAAAAATTTTACAATAATGAGGGTTCACGAAAATCGCGGTGTATAAATTTTCTTTATCTTCGATGGTACATGTATCATTAGTAGTAATTAAATTGAATAGGAAAAATCTATTTACGGGTCACGGTATCTCTGCTGTTAGACGTTAATTCTAGACATTCTAAACTTGCAGATTTATGATAAAAGGTTTATAAAAGTTATGATTATTTTTAAAATTAATTTACAGCTTTTAATGCAAGGAAAACTTGCGCAAGCTGTTTTGATTCATGATTTATTTCTAATGTTTTTGTTTCAGTTGTTGATCTTTTTTTTTAGTTTGTTGATTTTTTATCAACAATGTTTATATTTCAGTTGTTGATTGCGGTCTCCCCGAGTCCATCAGCCCCGGCGTGTACAGACTGCCCAGCAACGAGACGAGCTACGGAGCCACGGTATCGTACGAGTGCGACCCCAACTGGAAGGTGGAGGGAAAATTCCGTAGATTCTGTCAGGAAAACGGCACCTGGTCGGGACCTGTTCCCAAGTGCATCCGTGAGTTGCGGGATAGATTTTCACTTATTCTACTTGTGGAAATGAAAAGTTATGCAATGATAATTATTAACTTGAACACTGGAAAAAAGACTAAATGGCTCTTTTTTACGACAGTTGTTTGGCTGTTAGCAGCACCAACTTATCGATTTTTTCGGTTCTCTGGTAGGCTTGTTACAATTATATAATATCCATGTTATGAATTTAAAATTTACCTAAAAAAATACAATCAAATCTAATTTAGCCTTTAAACAACTCAAAGTCAACTCTTTTTATGCCATAAAATCTATCATTGTACCTCTATTACTCTCGCATATAGGTACTAACCAGTGAGCATTTGTGAGCAGAGATTCAGTGCCCCGAGCTGAGCAGCATGGCAGAGCAGGGTTCAAGAGGCCTGCGCGTGGAGGAGGGCGACCGCACCGTGGGCAGCCACGCGACCTACTCCTGCGACGCGGGCTACGAGCTCGTGGGGCCTACGCGACGTAGCTGCTTACAGCACGGCGTCTGGGACACTGAGACACCCACGTGCAGGGGTGCGCTCATGGAGTCGGGGTGTAGGGAGGTGCCTCCAGTGTTTGGTGATGGGGATGAGGTGTAGGGAGGTGTCTGCGGGGTGGGGTGATGGGGTTGCTGTGTAGGGAGGTACCGGCAGGGTTGCGGTGATGGGGTTGGAGCGAAGAAAGGTATCTGCGGGGTAACGATGATGGGTATTTAGGGGTTAGGGAGGTACTTGAAGGGGTGCGGTGATGGGGTTGCGGTGTAGGGAGGTACCTGCAGTGGTGTATGTGTGAGGGGTGATGGGGACTGACCGTAGGTACGATGGGTCTTGGTTCTATATCGGGATGAGGAGGTTGGGGTTTGTGTTGTGCTTACGTTATCCTGTTGGAGTTATGTTAAGTGAATCACGTTACTCTTATTTTTAGGGAATTCAGTTGCGGTTTTCTTCGGGAATAAATTTGGGTTTATCCATAGGAAACTAAGTAAGGATTATGCATGCGGCATCTCATTATGCATGCGGTTGGGTATGCTAAGTGAATCTATATAATAGCGTTAGGTACTTTGGAACCACGGATAAATTGGTATTTATCCAACGATGTGATCACGTACAAAGTGATTCTACCCGACCTGTGGATGAGGAATAATGTCTAAAGTGAAATGCTCATAATTTAGTTGCAGATGACAATGTTCGGTGTTATGATGTTGTAGGAACTATTTTTTTTATGTATGTAATTTTTTATTATATGATGTTGTTGTCCGATATTGTATGATATAATATTGTTACAGCCGTGGTGTGCGAGGAGCCTGAGCAGATCTTGAACGGGCGCATGATCAAGCTGAACGACTCGACGGCGTTCGGGTCCGTGGTCGAGTACCTCTGCTTCCCCAAGTACCACTTACATGGCTCCTTCCAGAGGACCTGTACCCAGCAGGGTACTTGGTCGCACGTGCCTCCTACGTGCTCCCGTGAGTTGGGGTACTCTAGGGTTGCGGTGATGGGGTCGGGGTGTAGGGAGGTGCCTGTAGGGTTGCGGTGATGGGGTCGGGGTGTAGGGAGATGCCTGCAGGGTTGCGGTGATGGGGTCGGGTGTAGAAAGGTGCCTGTAGGGTTGCGGTGATGGGGTCGGGTGTAGAAAGGTGCCTGTAGGGTTGCGGTGATGGGGTCGGGTGTAGGGAGGATGCCTGCAGGGTTGCGGTGATGGGGTCGGGTGTAGAAAGGTGCCTGTAGGGTTGCGGTGATGGGGTCGGGTGTAGGGAGGTGCCTGTAGGGTTGCGGTGATGGGGTCGGGTGTAGTGGGGTGCCTGTAGGGTTGCGGTGATGGGGTCGGGTGTAGGGAGGTGCCTGTAGGGTTGCGGTGATGGGGTCGGGTGTAGGGAGGTGCCTGCCTGCCTCCCCAATTTGTGACACGTTCATACTGTGAAGGACAACATATATTTGATTCAAAATCTCTCGGGTTATATAGCATCGTAATTAGATAGCTAAGTTCAGACTTAAGATTATTTTTGATCCATTCTGAATACGGATTGAGATTCAGATTTGAGCAATTATTTAGTAGATGGTAAGGACCAAAGAATATTGCTTATGGTACTTGTGGAACGAATTTTATTGACCAAACGTTTCTATTTTTGCCCCATTATGTGTGTAGTGGACGACACGGACGGAGGTATCCTGGACGACAACACAGTGGACGGGACGACGAACTCAGCTCGGGGGGCGCCAGGAGGCCACGTGGATGAGGGCTCCAACAGCGGCCTCATCGCCGGCATCGTCGTGTCCCTCGTGCTGGTAGCCGCCGTCGCCCTCGCCCTCGCCTTCTTCAGGACGTGAGGGCTGCCTCTGCTGGCTTGCCTAATTATTAAATACCTATAGAGCCTCTGTTGTCTTGCCTAGTTATTAAATAGAGATTATGCTTTAATATACTAGACATGTTATGCAGTGAGGTGTTCTTATGACCACCAGTGCTGCCTCTGCTCTCTTGCCTAGTTATTAATTATAGATTATGGTTTAATATGGACATGATATGCAGTGAGGTGTTCTTATGTCTAGTTTATCCTTGTGTACCAGGTGAAATAACGTCTTGTTCCTTTGCATTATTAACAGATGGCATGATATATAGAAGATGGTTTAAATTGGACCTGTTATATAGTGAGGTGTTATTATGACCAATTTATCCTCGTGTACCGTGCGAAGTAACGTCGTGTTTCTTTGCCCTTATAAACACATGACATGATATATAGAGACTATGGTTGAATATGGAGATGTTATGCAGTGAGGTGTTCTTATGACCAATTTATCCTTATCTACCAGGCGAAATAACGTCTTGTTTTTCTGCATTATAAACATATGATATCATAAATAGTTTATATTTTCAATGACACAGTCATATGACGCGTTGTATTCTTTTTTTCTCTCCCACTTACTTTCTTTTACTCTCCGACTTTATTCATTTCTTGCGCAGTCGGCAACGGAAACTCGCCAAGACCAACGGTGGTAGTGGTGGCGGTGGCGGTGGTGGCGGTGGTGGGAGTCGAGGCAAGGCTGGCGGTGGCGGCGGCGGGATGAACGGCGGCGGGATGCGTGATGTCGGCGTCGTCAGCTACGCCGGCCTCAGTGACCCTACAACAGGTTAGGAGGCTCATCTTAACGAGATAGTTGAATAGCTGAAGCGATAGTAAACATGTGGCCTCTAAACAAACTAACTTAACGAGGGTCAAGGGCGAGCTTACGGAATCATTAAGATTTGGGATCGGGAAGGATCCGTCTTATCATTAAGACGTATGTTTATATTACTTATGATATCTGAGTGCAGAGAGAGAAAAATTTTAGTGTACACAAAATACCGGTGTAAAAATAAAATGTAATTCATTTATGAAACATTAGCTCTATTTTATTCTGAAAATATTCTAAAACTAAGGAAATTTAATGAATGAAAAAGTGAAACCGTACAAATTTCATTCCCAAAAGTTGATGCTGAAAGTATGAGCTCAGATAATGCGCCCTGCATAACAAGGAGACTGTATATAATGTTTTATTGCAGGTAACAACATCTATGAAAACATCCCCGATGACCTCGACCCCGACCCTAACTACTCTGAGCTCAGCAGCCCGCCATCTGATGGCAGCAGGTGAGGCCTGAGTATATTCCCCTTCATATACTGATATATAACAGTCATCAATGCTCATACAACTCTCATCAATGTTATTCCTACGGGAAAGGCCGGAATCGGTGTTTACCGTCAGTGTATTGGTGTGTTAACATTTGGTGGAGCAAGTGTGGGGTAAATGGTAATACGTTCAAATGGAAATATATTTGCGCTCCATTTGCTTTAGTTATTTTTCTAGGTGCTAAAGAATTAAGTTCTATGCAACCCCCATTTACGCCGCTGTCCAAATTTGTTAGTAACCGTTCAAATTTGCATTTTGATTCTAGGAGAGGAATAATTGTGTTAAACGATCCTATTCAATGCAGATGTTTCGGTTACATTATCCTGGTGACTTGAATGCATACACTTCATGCATTCACTTTTGGCTTCACCTGAAGTGCATGCTGCACTCTCTTCATTCATCAGTGACTTGACTGCCAGAACTTCATTCATTCACTGAAATATTTATATGCAACACTTCATTCACTCAACAGAAGTTCTGGACCAACATACACCAACGGGTCCATGTCAGAGCGCATGAGCATGGGAGGCTACCCACCTAACCAGAGACCCAGGCTTCCTCCTCCTCCCCAGCCTCCCGTCGCCCCACCTCCGATGGCCGTCACAATTAACGGCATGGCTATCAACGGTCATTAGAGCATATAAAGGCATTATAGACATCCTATTAAGTTAACATCTAGTGTAAAAACAATTGATAGTTTAATACTTCCATCGCACGACAAGGATATTTGTTCTCAACTGAGAATGTCTTGTGTAAGTAATAATGTCGCTCGTTTGCTTCAATCGCAAATTCACTAAAAAATTAAAACCAAAGAAAACTTCACAAAAAATTCATAGGATCTTTAAAGAAAACGTTTTGGAGTCCAGCAACCTGGACTCCGAAACGTTTTCTTTAAAGATACTATGATTTTTTGTGGAGTTTTCCTTGCTTTTAAATTTTTGAGAATGTCCTGTGTAGAAGTTATTGGATACGATAAAATATTGCAACCTAAGACAGGCCTGCTAATGAATAGATCAGACCTGCGTAATCTTAACGCATTTGGTTTTCCCTGAAATTTATGTGTCCTTTTAGCGTGATAGGATCGAGTCGTTAAATTATAAGCCTAATATTTTTAATGTATTTAGTAATGGAAATAATTGTTGCATATGAAATATTATTGCAATTTTTTAAATGCAAAGGCTGCATTTTAGACTCAGTGTTGATAATAATATGCGTATTTAAATCATTCGAACTGGTAAGGCCAGATCAATTAATTTTCAATTTTATTATTATGGAAAATAGCAAATTATCGCTTGTAGAGATTTTTTAATCGATAAAGCGGAAGACGTAAAGAACAGGAATTGATAGGACGTTTCTAATATCTCGTACGTTCTTCACGTCTGCTGAGAAGACTTGTTGAGTTAATTTCTTCACCAGTTACCTTAAAAAGAATTAAATTTTGATTTCTGAGAATTGCTATGAAATCTTTTTATGGGTTGAATTTAGCCCTGCACGGGCCACATAACACGTGAGCTATGGAGTGGACAAGCGTTGGTCTGGTCGAACCATAAATCAGGCTAGAGAAGCGAACGACGTACCATATACGACCGTGGTAACGCTATACCCTTGAACTTTTATTTGATTGAACTTTGATTCAAAGAAGACTAAAGGAACTTATTTGCATACGTATAATTACCTCGTACATTCGTCTAGATTTTTACTGTATTTATAGTATCAATATGGTTTCTTTGTTTAAACTGCCTTTTGATTTTTATCTATTTTCTCAAGCATGGTATTTTTCTTACAAAAAAATTAATTATATTGAAGTTCGGTTTGATTCCATTGTTGTCGAGTGATTCAACCATTGGTGAAAAATTGTAATATTACGATGTTTCAAGCTATGTATTGATAATATCCTATGAGTGGCAGGTCTGATTATTCCGAAATCATGAAAAAAGATTTTAGTGTAATGAAAAAATGTACTTGAAAGCGCGTACCTAATAGTAATGATTTTGGCCCTTTGACTTGACAGGACAAAGTTATGTCTAACTGTAATTATTTCTATGTCAAGACCATTTACCAACACTAATGAAGATAATATCTTTGTAATTATTTTGTACATATTTAGTGAGAGGCTGGAGGTTTATAACGCAGTCAATAAATATAAAATAACCTAAATGTGTTTTATTACAATTTTCGAATTGATTATTATCAATCTTCGAATATTTCAAATACATTTCTCATATTTTGGAATTGATTTTCTTTTAAAGAAAACCATTACCTACCTACATATCATCTGTAGTTGCATGTTGCACCTAATTTTTTAACCTAATAATTTAATTCCATTTATTTTCTGGTTCCCCGACACAGAAATTGTAAATTCTCCGAAAAATATTTTTCAGTTTTTTCATCGTATATTCAATCTCTCCTTCTTGGCTAGAATTTTATTATTTTCCTGTTTGGTTCCTGCACGATTCCTACTTCCTTACATTTTTCCCTCTTTTCCCTCACTTTGTGCTCGATGCCCTCGACTTCCCTCGAGGGCCGCTGTTCATCGATCAAAGCCATGCCCGCCTGACTGCCTTCTGTGTGCCCCATACCCGCGCCTTTGTCTGATGGTGCTCATCCGGGTGATGTTTGTGCTCATCCTGGTGATGTTTGTGCTCATCTTTGTGCTGTTTGTGCTCATCTTTGTGCTGTTTGTGCTCATCCTTGGTGGTGTTTGTGCTCATCTTTGTGCTGTTTGTGCTCGTCCTTGGTGATGTTTGTGCTCATCCCTGGTGATGTTTGTGCTCATCCTGGTGATGTTTGTGCTCATCCTGGTGATGTTTGTGCTCATCCTGGTGATGTTTGTGCTCATCTTTGGTAATGTTTGTGCTCATCTTTGGTAATGTTTGTGCTCATCCTTGGTAGTGTTTGTGCACATCCTTGGTAGTGTTTGTGTTCAGCCTCTGGTGCTGTTTGTGTTAAGCCTCTGGTGCTGTTTGTGTTAAGCCTCTGGTGCTGTTTGTGTTCAGCCTCTGGTGCTGTTTGTGTTCAGCCTGTGGTGCTGTTTGTGTTCAGCCTCTGGTGCTGTTTGTGTTCAGCCTCTGGTGCTGTTTGTGTTCAGCCTCTGGTGCTGTTTGTGCTCAGCCTCTGGTGCTGTTTGTATACAGACTCTGGGAGCTTTAGCGTGTACAGCCTTTGAGCTGTTTGTGCAGTCTTTGAGCTGTTTGTGCAGTCTTTGAGATGTTTGTGTAGAGCTCTGTTACTGATGCCGAGCTCTGGTTGTGTCGAGTTGCAATCCTGACGTCATTTGTTTTCATCTTCCTCCTAATTATGATCACTGTAGTCATTTAAAGTTACGTAAAATCAACGCATAATGCGTGCGAGTCGAATAATTATTTCCATCAAAGTCAATGTTAGGACGATTGCAGGTTTTCAAATGAATATAAACTTTAAATATTTGGAATTTGTGCAGCATCAAATATATTCGAGGTGCTAATGATATAAGAAGAAATGCCAGTATCATTTATAATGATTTACAAGTATTAAAAATAATGCACTTTGTGCAGCGAAAATTCAGATGGTATGAAATGTAAAGTCCGGTGTAAGGTCCGTAGATTTATTTGGTTTCGGCCAAGGTCCCAACATAAGATTTTTCAAATTATTAGTTACCACAAAATAGTTGAATGAAATAATTTATTAACTTGCAGTGTAGGAATAAAATAAATTCCCTGCGTATAAGATTAATGTTGAAATAGCGGATGATATAGCATGAGCACGGGAACGATTTAACGGGACTGGAAGGTATATTTGATTTCATGAGGATGAAAAGTGGATGAACATTTCTGCAGGGGATATCCTCCAAAAAATCCAGAATCACAATGTTAATACATACAAAATTTGGGTGCGGTATCAAAGTTCTAGTTTGTAATGCTTACTATTATGAGTATTTTCACTGAATTTCAAAAGACACAGAAAAGCTGGATAATCTGAAAGAAAAACTTAGCTACGCGAACAATTGTGTGAAAAATAACGTTGGGTGAGGTAAACATGTGGCTGCGTCACCACCACGCCATGTTTATTAGGAGGACAGTTCCTAGTTTGATGTTGGTACATCCGGAGGGCAAATAAGGAAGGCCGAGGGCCCCGCCAGAGCAATAAAAGCAAGCGGTTTTGCTGCCTCGGCTGATCCCCGCAGTTAAACAATCGATATCGCCAGCGTCGTATTTGATCCTGTGCATGATTTGTCGTGCAGTGTTAGTGAGGCGCGCACCACTGCACTAGTGACTACTGATAGCGTTTGTTGTTGGGGGGAAATATGAATAAGGTTTAACGTTTACGTTTATAAGGGTTAGTAACTTGTGACTGAAGTAAATAAATGAGGTTTCATTTTATCCAGTACAGCGACCTGCAATATGTAATTTTTTCATCGGAAAGGCGTTGGGGTAAATAAAATGACATCAATTTTTTATTCACATCGCACTTCTCGTTAATGTTTGAAATTATTTTCTTTCCCTGACGTAAGATGCCATAATTCAGTTCCAAGTTCCCGAACATCCTCTCTGTTGCTTTCAACTTTCGTCGGCGATGGGCTGTGGCTTAATTACCGCCTTACGCAAGTAATCTCATCGAGTTTCACGGGTTGGGTTTGTTACACGCCGACTTATAGTGCGGTTTTGCTCTCAAAAATAATTCGCGTAAAAGTTGTCCCCATCAAAATTCGCCTCGGCCATTGTCGTGCTATTGTCCGTCAACGAGCGAGGCGCCATCTGGCGACTAGCGCGTGCCAGGCGCTCGACGCAACCAAAAACCAACTTTCCGTTGCCGGTACAAAAGGTCGAAACTTGTCCTTTATTTCGTGGCGTGCACCAGGCAATTCATGAGCCACCCTCCACCCATTCTTTGTGGAAACGAGCGCATGGAAAATATTTCTTTACGTCTATGCGCATTACGCTTATTTTAGTGTGGCGTCGTAATTCAAAAGAGTTAATGCGTTTTGATCGCTGCGATGTGGAATCATACGAACGATATTGCGATCGCTCGTGCTCGTACAGCAACAAGTTTGGGAATTGCGTCGGGACCAACACGCGCAACTGCCGAGATTTAAATGATGATCATGTCACAGTTATTTAATCAATATTCGCGCTGGCCTTGCTAACATAAATCATGAAGCTAAACAACAGCTAAGCCTGGGTTGCCCTCGCTTGTGCCATTCAAATGAGGTGGCCGGGCGCTGTTAAAGGCCACTTTGAAGCTAATAAGCTACGAGTAACGTTCACTGACTGCCTGCTCGGTGTTACTTAAAAGGACTTGGACGTCGGCAGGACATTTCCCGGTATGACCGCAATACAAGAAGAGAGTTAGACAAATGAGTGTTCAGGGGATTTATTATCCTTGGCGAGAACAAGACAAAAAGAGTTAGTCGCTACATAATGTTTTCCTGGAAAAAGTTCATAATTGCACTATCAAAGTTCCGAAAATTAAAACCTAAATGTTCACAATGCAAAAATTTGTTCTTCTCAGCATGACAGCATCAAGAGCATCACTCTTACTAGGGTATAATACATAATGTATTTAAACGAACGTGTAAACCTAGGTACTTGTATAAGACGTGGAACTTGGTTAGAGACCCCAAGTGAAACATGAATGATTTAATGAACGATTCAATAAATTAATCACCTATTTGATAATATAATTATTATACTTTTATATATATTATTACATAGCATCATTATGAAAAACATTTCAAAGGTATTAATTATGTTGCATATTATTGTTTAAATATGTAGTAACAAACATGCATCGGAGTGGTGTGAATTCATTAATTTCGGATTCATTGAAGGGTGAGAGCTGTGTGGCGC